GGTCACCTGCCTAGAATCCCCCAGTGAGGGGCTGGGGTGTGGCTCAGCTACAGAAGCTATCCCCCCCCCCCCCACACACACACACGCACACACGCACAAACCCCCCATTTCTGCAGCTATCCAAAAGCTCCCCTCAACAGGGTTTCTGTTCGGCCCTCTACAGGGCCTCTGCTCTGGCTCTGCTGACCCATGCCCGGCTCCCCATGAAGGCTAGGCGCACTTCCCTGCCCCACCCTCCGCCCTGAAATGTCCTCTTTTCCCCGGGTTAATCCACGGTTTGCCTGTTCCTCGGGGCCCAAGGCCCACAGTGTAAATAAAGGCCTGCGCTCTGTTCCCGCAAGAAGCCATGCAGTGAGCACTTAAGGCCTCGCAGGGAAACAGCGGACGAGCCGGGCTCGCCGTCCAACTCCTCCCCGGGCGGAGGCCGCCAGGGCGGCAGCGCAGGTCTTCCGGCCTGGCTGCTGTCCGCGCACGCCCGGGGACGCGGGCGCAGCGCCCAGGCGGGGCGGGGCGGGGCCCCCGGGGCGGGGGCGGGGCCTCACCCTCATGATGCGCACGTTGTACATGCGCATGAGGCGCTCGTCGCTCTGCTCCGAGCTGTAGATCTCCTTCCGCAGCTTCTCCGCCGCGCGGATGTAGTCCCCCCGCGCGGAGTACACCCACTGCAGGGTCAGCCCGCGGGCCTGTGGGCGAGGCGCCGGCTCAGCCTGACGGCGCGGGGCGGGCACGGGGTGGGGGGACGCGGGGGGCGGGGGCCCTGCGGGCGGGGGCGGGGGGCGGCGGGCCGCGGACCTTGAGGGCCCCCGAGAACTCGTGGAGGTGGGCGAGGTGCCCGAGGACCACGTCCCCGTAGCGGCCGAAGTCGAGCGGCAGCAGGAGGTCGTGGCTCAGGCGCATGAGGAGCAGGCCGGCGAGCTGGGCCACCGCCTGGGCCAGGGCCGGCAGGCGCCCGCGCAGCAGCCGGCGCAGGTTGTCGTACGTGTCCTCCTTGGTGTTCAGGAACGGGTAGGCCCGGTCCTCCTGCGGGGACACGGGCGGGCGCTGGGACGGGGCGGGCCGCCGCGGCCCGGCGCCCCGGGCCAGGGCTGGGGCTCACCTCCGTGAAGGAGAACTCCACCGCCGGGACCCCCGCGAAGGCCGTGAAGGAGTAGGCACTGCTGTCCATGGGCAGGGTTCGAATCCTGCGGCGGGCAGATCGGAGGCCTGTGGGGGATCCGTCTCCCCTCCGTGTCCACCCCCAGGCGTCATGCTCAACTTACACCTCCGCGTCCCAGCTGGCGTTGGTGAACACCACCTGCTCATAGAGCGTCTGCCCGCTGTGGTTAGGGGAGTCCACCTGCGGCAGGACGGGGGTCAGGGGTCAGGCGGGGTCAGGCGCCGCCCTGGGCCGCCCGGCTCTCCCCTCCGCTCCCCTCTTGCCTGCTTCAGGATATTCTCGATGAGGCTGATGAGCAGGGGGCTGGTCTTAGCCTGGAATTTGCCATCTCCTGAAGAGGAGGGAGGGAGGAATGCCGGGCTGAGGGACCGAGTCCCGCCGCAGGGGGACCGCGGCCGTGGGGGACGCGCCGCCCAGCTCACCCAGCACGGAGTGGTCCAGGTTCACGTACACTACGGCTTTGAGGTGGAGCACGCTGAGGTAGCCCTGCGCGGGGGAAGAGCTTGGAGACGGCAGGTCCCCCACCCCCCAGCACCCGTCACAGGCCCCAGAACCCCGAATCACCTCCAGCCACTCCATGGAGCCCACGCTGCCAAAGTCACCTCCGTCCCAGCTGACGAACAAAAGGCTCCTTCGAGGTCTGAACCCTGCGGTGCCCGGGGATGAAACGGTCACCCCCACCCTTCCTCTCCTGAACCCCTCAGGGGAAATGGGAGGTCAGAGGGCAGCCTGCAGGAGTCTGTCCTTGGCCCCCGCCAGCTCAGGTTCTCCAGCCTGCCCTCTCGCTGCCCTTATTTAAGGCAGGGTCACTAGTAGCCCAGGCTAGCCCCAAACTCCCTTATGTGGCAAAAGATGACCCGAAGCTGGCTGTGATGGTGCATGCCTTCCATCCCAGCACTGGGGAGGCAGAGGCGGGCGCTTCTCTGTGAGTTTGAGGCCAGCCTGCTCTATAGAGTGAGTTACAGAACAGCCAGGGCTACACAGAGAAACCCTGTCTGAAAAACAACCAAAAAAAGATGATCTGGGGCTGGAGAGATGGCTCAGCAGTTAAGAGCGCTGGCTGCTCTTCCAGAGGTTCTGAGTTCAATTCCCAGCACCCACATGGCGACTCATAACCATGTATACTGGGATCTGATGCCCTCTTCTGGCCTGCAGGTGACCTATAGACAGAACACCCATCCATCCATGATAAGTAAATAAATTTAAAAAAAGATGATCTGCATCTGCTTCCCCCTCTGGTGCTCTGGTGCAGGGCTAGCGTGGTAGTTGAGTCTGGGTAGTTGAGGGCTGAGCGTACACGCGGCTTTTCCGAGGCGTCTTCACACGAGTGCCGCTTGCTCTGTGCGCGTCTCCTCCGCGCCCCCCCCAACGCGGGGCAGCACGTCCTCTCTCTGCAGTACTGGGCCTTGAACAAGGCTCCTCGTGTCGGGTCGGTGTCCTATGCTGGGCTGTCACCCCACCCACCGCCTTGTTAAAAACTTTTCCTTAATATTTTAGTTGTTTTGTTTCGAAATGGTCTTGCTACGTAGCTCTGACGTGGGAGCCGGGCTGGCTATGGAAGTTACAGCGATCCTCCTGCCTCTACCGCCTGGGTGCTGGGATTACAGGTGTGGCCCACCAAGCCTGGCCAGGCTTGGGGTCTCCCCGTGAAGTCAGAGGTCATCCTGCTCTCCCTTCTAGAGTGCTAAGATCACATCTGTGCACCACCAAGCTTGCTTGCTTGCTTTTTCTCTCTCTCTTTATCTTGTTCTCTTTCTTTCTTGAGACAGGGTCTCTCTGTGTAGCCTTGGCTGTCCTGGAACTCACTCTATAGACCAAGCCGGCCTCGAACTCACAGAGCTCCATCTGCCTCTGCCTGCAGAATACTGGGATAAAGAGCACATGAGGGCGTTTTGTTTTATGAGACAGATACTCATGTAGCCCAGGCTGGCCTAGAACTCATTATGTATTTAGGAATGATTTTGAAGTCTTGGCCATTCTGCCTCAGTCTCCCCAGGCGGGACTTACAGACATGCCTGGCCAACACATGAAAAACTGCCTTTTCGTTTTACACTCGGGGGGGGCCTACGTGTGGACACTGGGGGCCTCTTGGGGACGCTAGTTCTCCCCTACCACGTGGCTGCTGAGGCTCGAGCCCGGGCCTTCGGGTGCACGTGGATGAGGAAATACTGTATTGGTGAAGTTACTCGCCAGAGCCACACTCCGGAGCCTGCGATCGCGGGCGCAGATCCAAGCGCGTCTCCAGTGCGCGCCGCCAGCCACCTTTCCCCGGGCCCAGCGCGGCCGCGGCTGAGCGGGCCTTACCGTTGCTGACCATGGAGGAAAAGGCCTGAACCAGCTCCAGCAGGATCGCCGTGCCCACGGCAGACTTGGCAGCTCCGGGGCCCCACGCGTCCCTCTGCGCGCCGATGACTACATAGTGATCTGAGGAGACAGGCGGAGGGCCCACGTCTTCAGCAGATGTGAGGCCCTGCGTCCCAGGGGCCTCCTCAGCCTCCCAGCCGCTGCCGAGCCGGCCGCCATCACGCCGGAATCCCTGCTGCCAAGACCCAGCCCAGACGCCGCGCACACACACCCACACACTCTTCCCGTGGGTCCCGTCTGGAGGCAGGATCTCGGGTAACCGAGCCCGGCCTAAAGCTTGTGACTGTCCCACCTCCACTTCCTCTCTAGCGCCGGGGCCACCGGTGCAGTTCCTGGCGCCAGCCCCGACTTTCCCATGCCAAACCAGCAAGCTCGCCGCTGGGGACAGTCCACTTGCTCGAGGGTTTTTTGTTTGTTTTGCTTTGTGTTCCACACTGGCCTTGAACTTCTGATCTCCTGCCTGTAGCTGTGTGCCGCCACCCCTGGCTCCTTCCTCTGCTTCATGACAGGGTCCCCAGGCCCAGGCCATGTAGCCGAGGCTAGCCTTCAACTGTTTGTGGGTTTTGTTTTGTTTTGTTAGACAGGGTTTCTCTGTGTAGCCCCGGCTATCCTGGACTCACTTTGTAGGCCAGGCTGGCCTCCAGCTCACAGAGATCCGCCTGCCTCTGCCTTCCCAGTTGCTGGGATTACGGGCTGTGCCACCACGGCCGCCTAGCCCTGAATTTATAATCCTCCTGCTCCCGTCTTCAGCGCTCTTGTGCCCCTGCTCTGATCTCCAGCAGCCTCTTCTCAGGGCTTCCCAGCTCCGCCTGCCTTCGAAGTCTGCAACCCTGGATCCATCTGTCCAGTCTGGCCTTTGCCTGATGCTTGAGTCTCTAGTATCACACCCCCCACACGCAGGGAGCTCACTGCTGAGCCGTACTGCCCATTGGGGGGTTCCTCACTGTCCTCTGTCCCTCATCCCCGTCTCACTCCCGGGCACCGATCCTGCCCTTCTCCGGGGCCTCCTGCACTGGTCCTGGCGGTCAGGGCTGGTGCGGGCCTCCGAAGGGAGCCCGGGGGGGGGGGGCGCTGGGCGGACAGGCCCACCTGGCTCCTCGAAGCCCTCAATGCAGGCGAAGATGTTGCTGATGGGCGTGGACGCCCTGCGGTTGCTGACCACGAGGCGCAGGGCTGGCCCGGGGCCCAGCCGGTAAGGAGAGCCCGAGAGGTGTCCTTGCCATTCCTGCGGAGCCTCGGGGCCCTCGAGCTTCCTGGGGGGAGACGGAGCAGAAAGTCCCAGAGTGGGTCTGCGGCCTAGGGTGCGCCGCCGCTCACGGCCTTCCTCCTCTCTGGCTCACGGCTCTGTACCCTGCTCAAAAGGACAGCGCAGCAGGGCCTGCCTCGGTCAGCGGTGTAAGCTGGGTCCCAGCCAGGTGGAGGCGCACGCCTGTGATCCCAGCACTCGGGAGGCAGAGGCAGGCGGATCGCCAGCCTGAGCTGCAGAGCAAGTCCAGGACAGGGCTACAGAGAAACCCAGGCTTCACAACAAAGGGCCCTGTCCTGTGTAAGGTCCTAGCATTTGTGGGTGTACCAGAGGAAGGGGCCAGTAAAAGGTGTGGCCACCTGAAAGGCCGCCTCTTTCTCGTGTGTGCACGTGTACAAGCGTGTGGAAATGTGTGTGCACGTGTGTGTAGAGGCCAGGGGCCAACTGTGCATCTTGCCCTCGGGTGCAAACCACTTTTTAAAAAGTTTACGTTTTCTTATTTTCTGTGTATGAGTGTGCGTGTGAGCCTCAGGGTGCGTGTGGAGGCCAGAGGACAGCATGGGGGCCTGTCCTTGCTGAGTGTGAGACTTGGGATGGTCTTTAGCTTGCAGCCAGGCCTCTACCCACTGAGGCATCTGGCTAGGACACCGGTTTTTGTTTTTGTTTACAGGGTTTCTCTGTGTAGCCCTGGCTGTTCTGACTCACTCTGTAGATCAGGCTGGCCTCGAACTCACAGAGACCCGCCGGCCTCTGCCTCCCGAGTGCTGGGATCACGGGTGTGTGTCACCGTGCCCCGGCCATGGCTAAAACACCTCGTTTTGTTGTTCTTTCTTTTGACAGGATCTGCCCTTGGCCTGAAGCACACTCATTTGCCTACGCTAGATGCCAGCGAGCTTCAGGGGCCTCTGCCTCTCCCGGGCTGGAAGTACATGCACTTGGGCGTTGTTTCATTTTTGGTTTGGTTTTGTTTTTCAAGACAGGGTTTCTCTGTGTAGCCCTGGCTGTCCTGGAACTCGCTCTCTGTATAGACCAGGCTGGCCCTCAACTCAGAGATCCACCTGCCTCTGCCTCCCTGAGTGCTGGGGTTAAAGGTCGGGCATTTTGTTTTGTTTGTTTTCAACATGGCTTCATTCTAACCGTAGGCAATTCCCTGACACAGCTAACTCTCCACGCTCAGGTCCCCGTCACCGAAGGAAGCCCAGAGCTAGCCTCAGCTCCCACCCTCTGTCCTGTCTCCCCCGCCCTGCTACCGGAGCAAGCGGCCGGCGATGTCCGCACTGATGGGCTGGGCGGGGATGCCGGGAAGGCCTGACGATTCTACTGGAGGAAACTGGGTCTGATTGAAGGAAGGAAAGCCAGGCGTGTAAGGGTCTCCAGTCCCCAGGTGCACCTAGAAAGGAGGGGTGCCCACTCTGAGACCGTGGCCTGCTTGTGCGTCCCGGGCCCCAGGGAGGTGAGCTCTGGCTCCCCAAACTCACGTGTCCGTACACAGCCTGGTGGCTGGACAGGCCTGGCTTGTGAGGGTCCTGGGAGAAGTCTGCTGGGTCAGGGTAGATCAGCACTCCTCGGGCCCCGAAGTCCTGCGCAACGGCTACCTGGGGGAGGCCAGAGAGGCCAGCAAAGGTCAAACGACCCCCTCACCTGCAGCTGCGGTCCCCAAGGGACCATGTGTGGCTGGCACACCTCCCTCGGTGCCTCTGCAGCATGTAAAATCCCTGCTTGAGGCTGGAGGGACGGCTTGGAGGTTAAGAGCACTGACTGTTCTCCCGAAGGTCCGGAGTTCAATTCCCAGCACCCACATGGTGGCTCACAGCCATCTGTAGTGAGATCTGGTGCCCTCTTTTGGCCTGCAGGCAGAATACTATATAAGTAAATAAGTAATAAAGCTTACTTTAAAGCGACCCTCTGTGGGTAACTCCTCAGGGCACCTGGCACCCGTCTGGCCTCCATAAGTGCTCTACACCACATCAGAAGCCAGGTGTTTCACTTGGAAACACATGTCCTTCCTTACTCGTGTGTCAGGGTCCGCTTTCGGGGTCGGTTCTCACCTCGTGGCCCCAGAGCTTGAATTCAGGCTTGCTAGTAAGAGCCCTGGTTCCCCGAGCTGTCTCCCCGGCTCTCTAGTTTGGTTTTTAAGATGGAATCTCACGAATTCCCGCCGGGGTTTAAATTCTTTATGTGGTGGAAAACGACTTTAACCCCCATCCTGCTGCCTCTTCCACTGGGAGCAGTGAAATACAGACCTTTCTTCTGTGTGTGTGTGGGGGGGGGGGGGGGGCTGGCCATCCTGGCACTGGCTCTCTAGACCATGCAACGTTTTCTTAAAATGTGCCTGACTTTTCTGTTCTCGGTCCCTCCCACAGAGACGCGCCCGTTCCCCGGCCCCGGCCCTCACCTTCTGGGCGAAGCTGGTCCCCCCAACTCTCACTAGCAGGAGGCTGCCTGCCGGCTCCACGCCCTTGCTCTTCAGGCCCTGCAAGTCCTCGGGCCGCCCGTAGTGGGCGTACAGCAGCCTGCCCTGGGGACGGGGTCTGTGAGGCGAGGCGCAGGGCGGCACCCGCGCCGCGGGGACGGGCTCCCCGGGAACCTCACCGTGGCGCTCCCCGTGGCGCTGTAGGGGCAGTAGACCTCCGGGTCCTCCAGCGGCAGCTGCTCCTGGGCGCTCCCCGCCGCGTCCGCCCAGTGCAGGGTGTTGGGGTGGGCCCTGAGGGTGGGCAGGGTGAGCACGCGGGCTGCGCGACCCCGCAACCCCTCCTCGCGTCCCCGACTCACGGGTCCGGGAACTGAAGGCCCACGTAGTGCGTGTCGGTCCACACGTGGTCCAGCTTCTGGCGCGAGAGCGTGCTGAGGATGTCTTGGACCAGGGTGGCCATCCTGGCCGAGCCGGCCACGCGCTCCCGGAGGCTGGTCAGCCTGAGCAGGGGGACAGCACGCTGGAGGGGGCCCTACCCGGCCTCCGAAAGGCGAGGGGTAAACGCAGGCCCCGAATGGCGTCTATCTGTCCGAGGCCAGCCTCGAACTCGGGTGAAACCGCTTGGGAGGAGGCGGGGGGGGGGGGGGGGGGGCCTGCCTGGGCCTCACCCTGCGCCAGCTTCCACTGTCGTCACCTAAAGTGGCCTGCCCCCCCCCCACCTGCTGCCTCGCGTGGGCTGTTACCTTTGCGTTTGCCACAGCAGCCTGGCCTTGGCAAACCTGGCCACTCGCGGGAGGGCGTACATATCTGCGAGCCACGGCAGGGTTCCTCACCTCCAGCCTGGGCGCCTGGTTCTCCAACTCCCTTTCCAGCCTCCCTCCTTCCCCTTCTCCCTCCTTCCCTCCCTCCCTTTTTCCCTGTCTCCCATCCTCATTCCCTCCTTCCTTCCTCTCTTCTTCCCTCCCTCCCTCCCTCCCTCCCTCCCTCCCTCCCTCCCTCCCACCTGAGGGAGTCTGGGCCATCATTGTACCCCTGAGCTACAGGCAGTCACCGCAGAGCCCTTTACACCTTGTTGTTGCTGTGTCTTTTAGTCAAGGCTATGCTGAGTTGCCGAGGCTAGCCACAGCCTCACTTGAACTCCAGCTAGGCACAGGCACAGAACCTCCTCTGCTTTAGCTTCCCAAATAACTAGGATTGCCAGCCTCCGCCACCAGGCCCAGCCAAAGCAGTCAGTCCCACAGAGCCGGAGACTGACCGGGAGATTGGTCAGCACATCCTGCAGTGTCCCGAACCCCATCTGCTTTCTTTCTTCAAGCCTGCCCTCCCTCCCTCCTCCGTGTGTGCGTGTGTATCTGTGTGTGTGGGGTCTGGCCCATATGTTCGCACACAGCAGACATGGCGCGTTTGGGGCCTTCATCCTCACTGTACTTGGCGGTCTGTCTGTCTTTCTTGGCTCCCATTTCCAGAGCTTTCAGTCTTTTTTATTCCTTCCTAGGTTGTAGAGGGTGTGAAATTAGGAGAATTCAGCAGCAGGTAGCTCTACCCATTTCCTGGCTTTCATAAGATTTTTTGGGGGTGTGTGGGGGCATGACACAGTCTTATTTGTCCTTGAAGACATTATGCGGGGAAGGATGGCCCTGAACTCCCGATCCTCCTGTTCCTGCACCACACTTAGTTTATAACGTGGGAACCATGCTTGGTTGAGTTCCCTGTCACCCAAGCTGTCTCCCCAGCCTCAGACTGGAGGCCTTTGAGCAGGGTAAAGCCATCTTTTCTGAGCAAGTTCCCAGGAGTGTCAAAAGCTACACCGCAGTCACGCTTGGCAAAGAAACCCAAGTCTCCAAATCACTAAACAAATATTAAAGATGTATTAGCTCAGTTGGCTCTTGAGTGCAGAGAAGGAGGAGGAAAACCCAGTACACAGCATCCCAGAACTTAGGAGGCTGAAGCAGGAGGACCTCAAGTCTGGGGCCAGCCCGGGCTACGTCTCAGAAAAGCCAACCCTAAAGCAAATCAATTCAAACAGACAGAGTCTGCCGGCAAGCGCAGGGCCCCAAGCGCAGGGCCCCAGGCGCAGCCCAGAACTGAAAACAAATTTCTTTTAGAAGGCCGGTGAGATGGCTCAGCGGGCAAATGGTGCTTGCGGCCAAGCCCGAGGACCTGGGTTCAATCCCTGGGATCCTCTGACCGTCACAGGTCACAGCACCACACTCCTAAATGATGCGAAATAACCGCCAAGAACGAAAGAAAGGAACCCGAGGAGGGGAAGAGCAATGTGGTTGCCGCAGTGCATGCCGGGAAACTATTTCAAACTTGTTTTTTCACCCATTCCTCATTACCTTTTCACTACATAAAACAAAATATAAGTGTCGTTTATTTTTACAAATCACTTATGTTTTGAGATGGGGCTGTGCGCCCCAGGCTAGCCTCCAGTTCACTATGTCAACGATGACGCTGCTCAGGCACCTGCCTCCAGAGGCTGGGTTTGAGGCACACGCCGCCAGGCCTGGGCCCTCTGCTTCTGTCCACCCAGCCGCCCATCTGAACAAGCCTCCCTCCATGTCCCAGGTCCTCGGAGGAAGCTGGCACCGGGCTGGGCGGCAGCCGTCCTACCTGATGGTGTCCTCCAGGCGCGCCTCCCCGAGGAACCGAAGAAACATGGCCTGGAGATCGCTCCAGTACAGCCTGCCCTGGCGGGAGTCGAGGCCCAGCTCAGCGTCCTCGCTGACCACCACCACGGAGTCCCCGCACGCCTGGCAGGACCCTCGGAAGGCCACGTAGCCCAGGAGGAAGGCTGGCGGTGGTCAGATGGGGTTCTTTTGAGCTCTCCTCGGCTGACCCCAGAAGTCCCGCAGCCCCGGGGCAGGGGGGAGACTCACCCCCCGTGAAGACCAGCAGCGAGGTCAGGACCACGTAGGGCGCCGACTTGCGCCCCACTGCGGCCCAGGGGATGGGAGCTGACCGCCCCAGACCGGACCCCAAGGCCTCAGGGCCTTTGAGTTCCATGGAGCAGGACAGGGCAGGCAGCTCGGCCACTCCCTCCTCTTCCTCCTCCAGGGGCCCCAGATGAGGGCCCTCCACGCGCCGGTAGATGGTCTGAGAGGGTCCTGGGGGCCAGCGTTGCTGTGTGGGCGGGGAGGTGGGCGTGGGGTTAGGGAAGGGGGCGCGGGCCGGCGGAGGGCTAGCTAAGCGCGCTGTCGCTGACCTGGGCAGGGTGGGCGCTCCAGGAGGGAGGCTGGAGGGGAGGGGCCTGAGGGACGAGCGCCCACCGCGGACCCCCCAGGGCGCGCCCCGCCGGTCTTACCGCGCTCTGCAGCACGCCCCGCAGCCGCTCCATGCTGGGCCCGCCTCACCCTGCAAGCCCCCCCAGGGATAAACCGTTTGTGGGAGCGCCAGAGGGCCCCTTATCAGCTCTGGCAGGCAGCCTGAGCCCAGGCCGGCCCTCACCCCTCATAAGGGAGGGGGCGCAGTCTGGCCTCCCCCCAGCCGTCCAGACGTGCCCCTGGCTCCCGCTAGCCGCCAATCCTTCTACGAACCCCACTGCTGCCGCTGACCGCAAAATGATCAATTTTTTTTCAACCTGAGGGCAGACTTTGACCACCTGAGTTCCCGGCACAGGTGGGGGAGGGTGGACGTGGGGAGCGCGCTCCTTTCCGCGATTCCACCCTCCCGGTGTCCTTGGGGAAAGTCCCAGCCCCTTCCCTCCCCCCGCAGCTGGTTTTCAGGTTCCCCAGCACACAGCCTCGCTGTGACCCCCTCGCTGCTCCTCCCGCCCCGCCCCGCCTCAGGCTCCAAGCCGCTGGCATCCGAGTGGCGGGACTCGGTGGCTTAGGCTGCGCATAAAGCTGTCTGTCTGTCTGTCTGTCTGGAATCTGTTTGGGAAGAAGGGCTGTGAGTGAGGTAAAGGGTCAGAAGAACCCGCTGAGTTGGTCCTGGGGTCGGGCGTCCTCCTCACCCTCAGGGGAGGCAGAAAGAGCCCGGCCAAGCCACCGTCCTCCCCAGCACCTCCTGGGCCCCTGAGGACTTCACTGGGTGTTTCTCCTCGGGGGTCTCCGACCTCTGAGCACTTGATCAAGAGCCACAGCCTCAGTTTACCTTCCAGTTCCCGCCTAGCGGCGCAGAGGATACCAGGACCTGCGGCGCTGAGCGGGAGATTCAGGGTCCACCTCACCCTCCCTCCGGGGCCCCTCGGAAGCTGCAGGTGCTACCAGGTCCAGAACGGTCTGAGCGGTGGGGCTCACCGGCACCCAGGCCCTGCCTCGCGCCGCAGCCGAGTCCCGGGCGGGAAGACGCAGCGGCCAAGCCTGCCTTAGCAACAGGTGCCTGGAGGTCGTGGACCCGGCTGCCCGGGACCCGAAGCCTTGCTGAGGCCACACCCACTGCAGCCCGCCCCATCGCCGTAGCCCCGCCCCACACCACGGCCCCGCCCCACACCATGGCCCCGCCTCGGCCAGAAGCCCCGCCCATCGCGATAACCCCGCCCCTCCCCACACCACGGCCCCGCCCCATCGCCGTAGCCCCGCCCCACGCCATGGCCACGCCTCGGCCAGCAGCCCCGCCCATCGCGATAACCCCGCCCCGCCCAGCAGCCCCGCCCCGCACCACGGCCCCGCCCATCGCCGTAGCCCGCCCCGCCCAACAGTCCCGCCCATCACCATAGCCCCGCCGCACACCATGGCCCCGCCCCGCAGCCCCGCCTCGGCCAACAGCCCCGCCCATCGCCGTAGCCCCCACCCTGACTCGAGATGGCCCCGCCCCGCACGGTAGCCCCGCCCCCGCAGTCCTTCCCAGGAGCAGCCCTGAGCGCCACAGCGTGGCTCATCAGAGTCCTCCCGGCCTGTCCCTTCCAGAGTCCCGACCCCGCGGAACCCTAAGAGTATCGGTCTGGCATCTCCCCCGACTCCCGCGCCCCGCTCCCGACCCCCAAGGAGGTCAGATTCTTTCTATTTTCTTAAAAGGCTTTTATTCTTTCAACTCAGAAACAGCGGTCTAAGAAGACGCGGTTAAGAGAGAGGGCAAGGGGAAACGGAGGGTTCAGCGCTTCCGGATTCCTGGCTGGCAGACCGCCCCTCGGGCGTCTCCCCAAACGCCGCGGAGGGGCGGGGGCAGCCTCAGGGGCACTTCCGCTCCACGCACTGCTTCCCCCCCTCCTCGTATTCCTGCTTGGAGATCCACATCTGCTGGAATGTTCCCTGGAAGAGGCAAGACCAGCTGCGGGTAGCCTTGGGGTCACCCCACACCCTCTACGCCGCCACACCCCTTCTTCCTCCTTGCCTCCTCCCGGCTGAGCGACTGTAGGCTGCGCTGCCACCGAGCCACACCCAGCCCCTCACTGGGGGACTCTAGGCAGGGGCTACACCACTGAGCCACACCCAGCCCCTCACTGGGGGACTCTAGGCAGGGGCTCTACCACTGAGCCACACCCCCAGCCCCTCACTGGGGGACTCTAGGCAGATGACCACTGAGTCACACCCCAGCCCCTCACTGGGGAACTCTAGGCAGGGGCTCTACCACCGAGCCACACCCAGCCCCTCACTGGGGGATTCTAGGCAGGGGCTACACCACTGAGCCACACCCAGCCCCTCACTGGGGGATTCTAGGCAGGGGCTCTACCACTGAGCCACACCCCAGCCCCTCACTGGGGGACTATAGGCAGGGGCTCTACCACTGAGCCAAACCCCCAGCCCCTCACTGGGGGACTATAGGCAGGTGACCACTGAGCCACACCCCAGCCCCTCACTGCGGGATTCTAGGCAGGTGCTCTACCACTGAGCCACACCCCAGCCCCTTATTGGGAGATTAAAATTCTTTCGTGCATTGTATTTGTGCCTGCTTCTGCTGTGCGTGATGATTGACCTACGAGAACATATGGAGGACAGAGGGCAGGGTTTGCCACTGCGTAATGGAGGCCAATCAGCTTGCATCTCCTCCGATCATGGGAAGAGTGCTCAGATTATAGACAAAGCTCTCATGAGCTGCTTTTTGTGGGCTCTGGGGATCTGAACTCACGCCCACACACTTGTGAGGAGGGTGTCTTGCTGCTTTCTTGCCTTTTGTTTTGACAAAGGAAGGTCTGAGTTGCCTGGGCTGACCTTGAGATCTTCCTGCCTCCCCTCCCGGAGTAGCTGGGGTTACGCCTCTGTGCCCAGCCAGCGTCTCCATCACCATTCTGACACCGCCTGGCACCTGGCTGCCACCCCGCCCTGCTGCTCCGCAGGAGTCCTGTCCTGTGTCCTCATGGATGGCTGCTCCGGCGTCTCCGGCTCACCAAGCAGCTTTCCCGGGCAACCTCATTTGTCCCTGCCACTCCACAGTCTCTCGTCCCAGACTCAGACACCCAGCAGTATCTTGGCTTCTTCCTTGACCTTAAACTCCCTATGCCCACAGCTGAGACCATCATCTTCCCTCCCTCTCCTCTGCTCCCCTCTCCTGCCCCTTCTGTCCTCCCTTCCTTTCCTTCTATTCCCCTTCTTTTTTCTTTCCCATTCTCTTCCTTTTCCCCAGCCCCTGCTTTGTCTTTCTCTCATGTAGCACAGGCTGGCCTTGAACTCTGTGAAGCTGAAAACATGAGCTCTATCCCCAAAACCCACATAAGAAGGTCTGGGCATGATGGGATGCACTTTTAATCCCTGGAGCTAGGAGACAGGCACGAGTCTGGTGCTCACAGGCCATCCCGTTTCTCCTGCTCTGCACACTGCACTCTCTCCAAAACATTTTCCTCCCCGGGCTAGGGTCATGTCTCGGCGAGGGGCTAGCTTTACAAGAGCCAGGATGTGAGTTCAGCCTCGTGAATGCGGGTAGAGACCATCTCAGGGGCCGGAGGCTGGGCTCACAGGGAGGCAGCCGAGGGCTGGGGGGGTGACTCCCAGAACAGCGCGGACCTCAGAAAAGCAAGCCGAAGCTGCCCGCGTTCTCTGGTGACCGGGGCTTGCTGCGTAGGCCAGGCCAGCCCTGAACTGAGGTCCTCCTGCCTCAGCCTGTCTAGCGCTGGCTCTCACGACTAGGCACGTGTGTTGGATAAAAGTGGGCAGCCTTCGGGTCTCCCCGTCAGTCAGCGCGGCCCTTCGGGTCTCCCCGTCAGTCAGCGCGGCCCCTCCCTTCGGGCCTCCCCGTCAGCGCGGCCCTTCCCTTCGGGCCTCCCCGTCAGTCAGCGCGGCCCTTCGGCTCTCCCC